GGCCTGCCGGATGGGGGTCCCCAGGCTCAGGGAATCCCATCAAACCCTCCCTTGCAGATATCCCAGGCTAAGACCTTAAGGAAATTATTGTATCCATTTCCCAGTGGGGAAACAGGCTTGAAGCTATCTGAGGGCTATTCCCTGCCTTGCTCCAGGATAATGAAATCATGGACAGAAGGACCTGTTTTCTGCATTGGTGGGTCTGCCTCCCCAGACACCACTAAGGCAGAGAGTCCCTGCTGACCCAAACTTGCTGTGTGACTTCAGCAAATCCCTGACCCTCTCTGAGCCTCCAATTTCTCGCCAGAAAAATGCTGAACTCAGCCCAGTTAGGGGAACTTGAGACTCAGACTTGGGTTGGCTTCCCAGTTCCCTTTGGTGATCTTAGCCAAACGACTTTGCTTTTCTGTGCCTCGGTTTCCCCAAGTGAACCAGAGGAGCTGCTTTTGGACCTTGAGCCCTCCCTGCCCCATTCCCTGTGGTGGGGTGGGAGCCCCTAGTCTCTCCTCACTCAAGCGAATGAATGGACCATTTTTGGCCGCCCTGCTGGGATCCCAGAGCTGCTAATTCCCTGGAGAAACAGGAGGCTCTTTCATGCCCAGGCGCCAGTGGGGTGAGGAGGCGGGAAGAGGGTATGGAGCTGGCCTCATACCCGTGGGCAAGGAAGCGGCATGCCAAAGCCAGGAGTGGTGTGGAGAGCCCTGGAGCCATGCATATCCTCACTAGGGGGCCTTGGCTAAGTTGATGTGTCCTTGGCTACAAAATGGGAATGACAGGGACCAGCCATGGAAGGTTTAACGAGCCAGTGGGTGGAGACGAACATGGCTTTAAGTCAGATACACAGTGGACTAGTGCACATCAGCTACTGTTGCTACATGTCAACCTGAAGAACCCACGGAGTTCTCCAACAGTTAATAGAATTCCCCCCATTTCACAGATGAGAAAACTGAGGCTCACAGAGGTCAAGGTGCTTTTCTAAGGTCACACAGCCAATGAGTGGTCCAGCCAGGATTTGAACCAGATCTGAGCTCTCCTGTCCCTGTTCTTCCTAACTTCCTCCAGAGGGTGAGGTTGTGGCTAGGGTTTCCTGTCACCTCCAGCCCCAGCCCTGAGACCAGCAAAGTTGGGTTTGGATGGCACCAGACTGTCTAAATGTGGAAAGCCCTGGCAGGCAGGGCTTGAAGGGACAGGCCTTCTGCTGCTGACCCACTTTCCCGCCCAGCTCCCCCCGCCCCCCTCTGCCTGGGGTGGGTTTCGGTAGACGCTAGTAGAATGCCAGGAGGACCATTCCTCCAGCTCTTGAAGAAAGGAGCTGGCTGCCAGTCCATTTAGCTAAAGCCAGGAACAACAGTCTCTTGCCAGTGGCTGCTCTGTCTTGGAACCCTCCATTCATGCAGAAAGGATAGTGTCCCGCCCTTTCACCAACACCTTCCCGACTTCTCCCAGCCCAGCAGGAAGTGGCTCCACATATTTTATTCAAATTCATGGTCTTTCACCCAATTAGGCCTTTGCTTATGCTAAGCACCCTCCCCACTCCAGATTTTCTCACCCTTGTGAATTCCTGGCCCCCTCACACACTATTAAGGTTCATTTCCAATATCCTCTCTCCCAGGAAGCCCTTCCTCCAGGTAGAGCCCCTGCTCCTCTAGCCCCGTCTCTCCCTCGTGGCTAGGAGTGTCTGTGTCTACCTCTGTCTTGCCCAGATCGAGGGCTCCTCTGGGACAGGGCTGGAGCTCAGGCATCTTGTTGTCCCCAGCATCATCCAGCACAGGGCTGGGCATGTGAGTGACAGCAGAGGTTGCCGGAGTTGTCTACTGAATCAGTGAACCAAATCTGCAGCCTGGTGTCTGAGGCTTTGTGTAATCTGGCTTGGAAAACTCCTGTTCATGCTTCAAAACCCACCTTGCAGGCTGGGCATTGTGGCTAACCCCTGTAATCCCAGCACTTTGGGAGACCAAGGCTGGCAGATCACAAGGTCAGGAGTTCGAGACCAGCCTAGCCAACATAGTGAAACCCCATCTGTACTAAAAAATAGAAAAATTAGCCGGATGTGGTAGCACGTGCCTGTAATCCCAGCTACTCGGGAAACTGTTAAAACGTGTGCTCTGAATGAAGAGACCCTCAAAACAGGCTTTGTGTGAGCAACGTGGCTGTTTATTCCCCGGGTGCGGGCAGGCTGAGTTGGAAAAGTGAGTCAGAGGAGGGCAAGGAATAGGAGTTGGTTTTATAGGTTTGGGGTAAAAAGTGGGAAGTTAGTTTAGGGTGGTTTTTTGCAAGCTGGTCATGGGTTTGCAAGCTGGGAGAGGGTCATAGGATCTGGACTCACGAGGTTGACCAAGGTCCCTTATGGTTATAAAGGCCAATGGCCTTGTCAACTGAGGCTGGAATAAGAAACAAGAGAGGAATGTGTCGGGTTAGTTAGGCGCCGCAGGGGTTGATGGTCCCTCCACTTTCCAGTTACTTCAGGTTTTCTAATTCCTGAAGGCCCTCCAGAGGTGGATGTGTGCCTCACAGGGGTCACCATGCCGTCCATGGCACGGTCAGACCTTACGAGGCTGAGGCAGGAGAATAGCTTGAACCCAGGAGGTGGAGGTTGTGGTGAGCGGAGATCGCCCCACTGCACTCCAGCCTGGGGAACAGAGCGAGACTCTGTCCCAAAAATCAAGCAAAAGAACACCCATCTCGTGTGCTCCCTCCTCCAAGAAGCCTTCCTTGATGTCCCAGCAGCATTTTCTGGGAAAGACAAACTTGGAAGCCAGGGCTCCTCTGTCCCAACAAGAACACAAGGGGTTTATGAGGACTTCCGATACTCCCAACATGGAGGTCCTTTCCACAACTCTGCCTTTGGCATCCGGGAGGCAGTGAAGTTCAGGGATTCTCAGGCTGCATTTGGCTGTTAGGGATAGATGCAGCTGACTTCTTGGAGTAGGAAGAAGGACATCGTTCGTCATAGGAAGTGTCTCTGGCCAGGCGCGGTGACTCACACCTGTAATCCCAGCACTTTGGGAGGCTGAGGTGGGCTGATGGCTTGAGCCCAGGAGTTCGAGACCAGTCTGGGCAACATGGCAAAACCTCATGTTTACAAAAAAAAAAAAAAAAATTAGCCGGCCGCGGTGGCTCGCACTTGCCAGTTCCAAGTATTCGGAATGCTGACGTAGGAGGATTGCTGGAGCCTGGGAAGCAGAGGTCGCAGTGAGCCGAGATCGCACCACTGTCAAAAAAAATAAAAATAAAAAAGAAGTCTCTCTCATTCAAAAATCAGTCAAAATCAGTGCTCCACGCCTTCAGACGCCTAGGGACAGCGCCCCGCGCGCAGCTAGCCTTTTCCCTACAGCTTCAAGGGAACCAAGGGAAATTCAATCATTGAACCCGGACCCTTTAAGATGCGGTGATGAAGGGGCGGGGCAGAATCAAGCCCCGCCCCAAGAGCGACAGCGGTCGGGGCCTCAATTACAACACGCATGCGTCAAGCCCGCGCGGTTCCGGGTCCCGAGATTTGGCTCCAAGAGCTGTTCGCAGAGAAACAGGCTCGCACAAAAAGCCACCGCGCCCCAAAACCGTGGGTGAAAGGCCTGACCTCCGGTCATTGGCGGTTTCTCTGATCCCCTCCCAAATTTTCCAGCAGGGTATTGATTGAGGCGACTTTTAGGACTGGGGCGGGCGAGGGAGTGGAGGTTCTAGTCCTAAATTACTGGTGAGGACGTGCAGGCCAAGGCGTGGCCAAGATCGCGCCCCCTGTGGCTTGAGGAGGAGCCGGGATTTGAACCAAGGCTGTGCCAAATCCTAAGCCCTGCGAAGTCTTGTGGAAGCGACATGACCCACTCTTTGGTTTGTGCAGAGACAGTGAGCAGGTAAGAGTCTGTGGGGACAGGCCGTGGTGAGGCCCTCAGCCTGGGGTCGAACCCTCTGCGACGCTGAGAGCTGGGCTCAGCCTCTTGTTTTCGCCCTGATCCTGGTGCCTCCAGGGTGAGTTCGGTGCTGAATCGCAACACCCGGCAGTTTGGAAAAAAACATCTTTTCGACCAGAACGAGGAGACATGTTGGAACTCGGACCAGGTGAGGCGCCTCCCTCCACCCTCGGTGGTCTCTGGGGTGACTCAGATTCAGGGGTTTGGGATGCCTTGAGAATGTCAGGGGGCCCGCATGGGTGACCAGGAAAGGAACATGTGCCGAATTTCCCTCTCCTCCGGCACTGCCCCCTCCAAAGACTCTGTGAATGAGACAGGCATAGCAGGGCTCTGTGCCTGCAGTGAGCTCGTGCCTCAGTTTCCCTGTCTGCTTCCAGGGCCCCTCCCAGTGGGTGACACTGGAGTTTCCCCAGCTCGTCCGTGTCTCCCAGCTGCAGATCCAGTTTCAGGGTGGCTTCTCCAGTCACCGGGGCTGCCTGGAAGGTACTAGGAGGCTCTGGGTGGTGGGGGTTCCAGGGGTCGCCCCAGACACTCAGTGTCTGTCTTTGCTGCAGGTTCACAGGGCAGTCAGGCCCTTCACAAGATTGTAGACTTCTTCCCTGAGGACAACAACTCGCTTCAGATATCCTGCCCCTGCTTCTGGGGTGGGGTGGTCTGTGCCTCTGGAAGCTTTGGACTCACCCAAACCTGAATGGGAACCCCAATGTGACCCTGAACATGTGACTCTAGGCCTCCATCACTTTATCTGTAAAATGGGGCTGATGACCACCTGTTCTGTGTGAGAGGCTTAGAGGGGCCTGCAGCTTCCTCAGTTTACCCACCACATCGGTGGAGTCCGAGCTGGGTCTGGGAGGGGTGGGAGCCTGTGGGTGGGAAACCAGAAATCACCTGTTGCCCTTGACTGTCCACGCTCACACCTTCCCCATACCAGTTGCTGAGGTGGATCGGCTGAAGCTGACTTTTGAGGATGCCACTGACTTTTTTGGCCGTGTGGTCATCTACCACCTGCGGGTGCTCGGGAAGAAGGTGTGAGACCTCCGGGGGCTGCCTCCTCCAGGAAGCCCTCCAGGAAGCACAGCAAATTCCCTCAAGTTCTGCACAGAAGGTTTATTGGTTCCTCTAAGGAAGGGTCCCCTCCCACCGCCTGTCCAGGAGCTGCCATTGAAGCCAGTTCTGGGTTTTCCCAGCTCTGGCTGACCGTTTTGTTCCCTGAGTGTCTGATCCCCCTCGGGCGGCCTTCACTCAGGGTCAGCGGGCACCAGGTTGCTCTGGAAGAGCTTGAGGATGTGGTTCTCGATCACCTGTTGCACTGAAATGGGGCAGGGAAAAGGTGGGCTGTGAGCTTGAATTGGGAGGGGTGCGGAGGTGTGGGCCAACCTGCACTCTCCCCTTAGGGGACAAACAGGGATCCCTACGGAGGCCAGCATTACAGAGCAAAGCTGGGAGGAAGGAGGCCCCATCCCAGGAACCCTACCTCCCCTAAGTTTATAAAAATGCATTTCTGTGGCTTTTCAGAACTATGATTATAAAAATATTTCCTACCAAGCAAAATGAGTGAATTGGGACTTTTATGAAAAGGTGAGCCTGGGCATGGTGGCTCACACCTGTAATCTCAGTACTTTGGGAGGCCGATGGGGGAGGACTGCTTGAGCTCAGGAATTTGAGGCCAGCTTGGGCAACATAGCAAAACCCAGTCTCTACCAAAAAAAAAAAAAAAACAAATTAAAAATTAGGCTGGGCTCAGTGGCTCATGCCTGTAATCCCAGCACTTCAGGAGGCCAAGGTGGGCGGATCACCTGAGGTCAGGAAAGACCAGCCTGGCCAGCATGGTGGAACCCTGTCTTTACTAAAACTACAAACATGAGCTGGGTGTGGTGGTAGGTGCCTGTAATCTGAATGGGAGGCTGAGGCAGGAGAATTTTGTTTGCCTGGGAGGCAGAGGTTGCAGTGAGCTGAGATCATGCCACTGCACTCCAGCCTGCATGACAGAGCTAGACTCTGTCTCAAAAAATACATAAAATAAAACAAAATAAAAAGATTTTAAAAATTAGCTAGGTAGAGTGGTGCATGCCTGTAGTCCCAGCTACTCAGGAGGCTGAGGCAGAAGGATCGCTTGAGCCCAGGAGTTTGAGACCAGCAGTCCCAGCTACTCAGGAGGCTGAGGCAGAAGGATCGCTTGAGCCCAGGAGTTTGAGACCAGCCTGGGCAACATAGCAAGACCTGTCTCTTCCAAAAAAGCAACAACAAAAAATTAGCCAGGCATGCATGGTAGTGTGCGCCATATGTAATCCCAGATACTCGGGAGGCTGAGGCAGGAGAATCGCTTGAACCCGGGAGGCAGAGGTTGTGGTGAGCCAAGATTGTGCCACTGCACTCCAGCCTGGGCAACAGAGCAAGACACCGTCTCAAAAAAAAAATTAGCCAGGCATGGTAGTGAATGCCTGTGGTCCCAGCTACTCAGGAGGCTGTAGTGGGAGGATCATTTGAGCCTGGGAGGGGTCAAGGCTGCAGTGAGGTGTGACCGCACCACCTCATTCCAGCCTGGGCGACAGAGCAAACACAAACCTCCGCAAAATAGGAAGGACGAGGAATTACTTCAAACAGTAAAACTCCAAAGGAAGGAGGGGGCCTTCCGAAGCCCTTTATCGCCACCATGACCCCAGGGGGTCGGTTCGATTGGGATTTCCCTATTTTATGGATGGGAAAGTTGAGTCCTGTTGTGACAGAGGAAATGGAGTCACACTGGGTCTGCCTACGGCCCCTGTGCAAACCCACTGCCCGCCTCTGCGGCCCTGTGCACTGTGGCCTGGCTGCCTGTCCCTTGGTGTCCTCACTGCCAGGCCTCCACAGAGGCCGCTCCTCCCACCTGGATGCCATCCTCCCTCCCTTTAGGTCCCCCAGAATCCTTCCTTCCCTGACACCCCATTCCCAAGCCTGGGCCCATCTCACTTCTTGGGGTCTCTAGCTTATACACCTTCCTCCAGGAAGCCCTCCCTGACTTCTGTTGGCCACTTTGGGGCTCTTTGATGAGGCCCCTCTTTGGGACTCTCTGTGCCTGTGTGTCCCCCATGATGGCCCCAGCTGTCCTCTCTACCCCAGCACACGTGGAGCCCCAAGAGCCAGGACTGGGATGTGCCAAGGCAGGACACACTGCAGTGCTTGACACCTGCTAATGCGAACACTCTTCCGGCTGGCATCTGACCACTGGGGGGGGGTGTCCTGTGTATCCCTTTATGGTCACCCTGCCTATGGGAGGGACCTCATTGCTCCTCCGTGTGTCTCAGGCCGACCTTTCCGGTATCCCAGGGCCACAGCGAGGTCCATCGGGGTGTAGCCAGAGTCGGCTTCGGTGGTGAGGTCAGCACCTCGGGCTGCAAGGCAGAGGGAGGGCGCTGGAGGGTGGGGCCTGGGAATCCAGAATGAGGGCTTGGGACCTGGGAGATTGCGTGGCACCCCTCATTCGCCACAGTGCAGCCGTGGGTCTGCCCATGTGGCCTTTGACAAGAATCCAACCTCTGCTATCTCGGTCTCTACTGAGGAAGGTGGCTGGAGTCTCTGAGCCATGGCGAGAGGAGGTGCTCAGCCTCTTGGCCAGATCCTAGACTCAGACTCCGAATCCTGGGCGGTCCTCCCACCTCCTCCCCTCTGATCCACCCTCCGAGAAGAGCAGGCAGTGACCACCCATCCCAAGAACATTCCAGCAACACCTGGGTGTCTCCCTGCCCTCAGGATTCCCGCAGGGCCCGCTGGAGCCCTGGGACCCCAGGGCCAGTCCGACTCCCACTCACCCAGCAAGGCCTCAACACATTTCACATGGTTCCCACGCACAGCGTACAGCAGTGGCGTCCCTCCATTCTGTTGTGGGTAGGGGCAGGAGAAACCAAAGATTTACCTCTTCGATTCTCACAATGCCTTGTACTCTCTCTGGCCTCCAATTTAATATGGTTCCTCCTCCTGCTCATCACTGGGCCCATCTCACTTCTTGGGGTCTCAAGCTTAGACACCTTCCTCCAGGAAGCCCTCTTTGACTTCCCTTGGCCTCACTGGGCTCCTGCAGCCGCCTGTGCATCTGCCATCACAGCACAATCCACTGCATCTGAGCTGCCTGTGTCCATGCCTGCCTTCCCCGCACCGGGAGCTCTGTGAGGCTAGGAATGGGGCTGTCTTGTATTCTCAGCACACAGAGCAGGCCTGCACCTTTCAGGTGCTCTGTGAACGTTTGAGGCAGGAATGGAGGCCAGGAGGCTGAGAGGTACCCGGGGCTGGCAGTCCCTTACCCAATCGTAGATGTTGATGTCCACGTCCCGCTCCAGCAGCAGTCCCACGATGTCTGTGTAGCCGCCTGTGCTGGCCAGTGACAGGGCGCTCTCTCGCTCTTTGGCCAGAATGTGGGGGTCGGCACCCTGCAGGGACGGGGGCAGTGGTGGGATGGGCTGGGACATAACCAGGAATCCTGGGGTACCCCATGACAGCCACATCTTTTTTTTTTTTTTTTTTGAGACGGGGTCTTGTTCTGTCGCCCAGGATGGAGTGCAGTGGCACAATCTCAGCTCACTGCAACCTCTGCCTCCTGGGTTCATGCGATTCTCCTGCCTCAGCCTCCTGAGTAGCTGGGACTACAGGCGCCTGCCACCACGCCCTGCTAATTTTTTGCATTTTTAGTAGAAATGGGGTTTCACCGTGTTAGCTAGGATAGTCTCTATCTCCTGACCTCGTGATCTGCCCGCCTCAGCCTCCCAAAGTGCTGGGATTACAGGCATGAGCCGCTGCGCCCGGCCAGAGATGGAGTTTCATATATTGGCCAGGCTGGTCTCGAACTCCTGACCTCAAGTGATCTGCCTGCCTCTGCCTCTCAAAGTGCTGGGATTACAGCTGTGAGCCACTGCTCCCGGCCAGCAGCCACATCTTAAACACAAGGCACTAGCAGACATAGCCAAGACCCCAGCCCACCCTAAGGTTCCCAGGAACCCCGCAGCTGGGCTGGGACGCACCCAATCCAGCAGGAAACGAACAGTCTCGATCTCTCCAAATGCTGAGGCCCAGATGAGGGGGGTGAAGCCACGCTCGTCCGGCTTGTTGACGAGGTTGTCACCTGGCAGGAAGGGGCAGGTGATACCACCAGGCTGCACCCCTGCCCCCTATCCCGAGGGCTGCCAAAGGGGACGAGGTGGGGGGCTGGGGTTAGACAGGGGAACGGGAAGGGAGCATATGTTGATGGACATACATGGACACATTCATACACACAGGTAGATACAGCCACACGTGGACACTCACAGGTCATGTGAGCGTCATAGATGGGCATGGACACCCATATGCACACACCAGCCAGGCGCAGACATGCCAGTACATGCGTGTGACACGCACCTTTCCGCAGATGCTCCTTCAGCTGGTCCAGCTCCCCCTGCGCTGCAAGCTGGTGGATGGACAGGGCTGGGGCAGGACAGAGGCAGAGTCCTCACTCATCCCCTCGCTTCTCTGTGCCTCGGTTTACCCTCTGTCCACAATTGTTCCTCACAGGCCCTCCCACCCTCCTACTCCTCTCCTTGTTGGGGACCATGGGCCCACTCACAGTCTAGGGTGGCCGGCAGAGCCGACACCTCGTTCCCCCGCTGCCGGTTGGTGAGAGTGGTGGAGTGCTTCAGGGAGCTGCCTGCTGGGAGAGACGACAGGCCTCAGTTTCCCCTGGGTAGATGTCTCTGGGGCTTCAGGACAGAAGCCCATCCGTTTTTTGTTGTTGTTGTTTTGAGACGGAGTCTTGCTCTGTCACCCAGGCTGAAGTGCAGTGGTATAATCTCAGCTCACTGCAACCTCTGCCTCATGGGTTCAAGTGATTCTCCTGCCTCAGCCTCCGAAGTAGCTTGAATTACAGGTGCCCACCACCATGCCCAGCTAATTTTTGTATCTTTAGTAGAGATGGCTTTCACCATGTTGGTCAGGCTGGTCTCAAACTCCTGACCTTGTAATCCGCCCACCTTGGCCTCCCAAAGTGCTGGGATTACAGGTGTTAGCCACCATGCCCAGCCCTTTTTTTTGAGATGGAGTCTTGCTCTGTCACCCAGGCTGAAGTGCAATGGCACAATCTCGGCTCACTGCAACTTCCGTTTCCTAGGTTCAAGAGATTCTTGTGCCTCGGCCTCCCAAAGTGCTGGGATGACAGGCATGAGCCATCATGCCACTCCCTTTGGTATCTCCCTTGGGTCTGGGAGCTATGAAAGGCAGTGGCTGGGGCTCCACCACTCACTCACACTACTCTCTTGAATACCCAGCGTGCATCTCTCTCCTCCCTGCCTAGCAATGTTCTGGGCAAACAAGACATCGTTTTTGCCCTCTGGGGATTCCAGGGTCAAGTAGGTGCATCAGGCATAGAGAAATAATAAAAAACTTCAAGTGGAAGTAAGTGTTCAAAAGAATTTAAGGCTGGGCACAGTGGCTCACACCTGTAATTCCAGTATTTTGGGAGGCCAAGGTAGGCGAATCGCTTGAGGTCAGGAGTTTGAGACCAGCCTGACCAACATGGTGAAACACCGTTTCTACTAAAAACACAAAATTAGCTGGGAGTGGTGGCAGATGCCTGTAAGCCCAGCTACTGGGGAGGTTGAGGCAGGAGAATTGCTTGAACCTCGGAGGCGGAGGTTGCAGTGAGCCAAGATTGTGCCATTGCACTCTGGCCTGGACGACAAGAGCAAAACACCATCACACACACAAAAAAGAATTTAAAAGCAGGTTGCAGAGGACAGAAAGAAGGGAGCACAAGGACTGAGTCATTCTTAGACAAGGCGGTAACAGGAGGGCCTCCCCAAAGTGACACCACCAAGATCTTAAGAAGTCAAAGAAATCAGTTACAGGAACTGGACACGGTGGCTCACGCCTGTAATTCCAGCACTTTGGGAGGCCGAGGCGGGCGGATCACGAGGTCAGGAGATTGAGACCATCCTGGCCAACATGGTGAAACCCCGACTCTTAAAAAAAAAATACAAAAATTAGCTGGTGTGGTAGCACACGCCTGTAATCCCAGCTACTCGGGAGGCCGAGGGAGAATTGCCTTAACCCAGGAGATAGAGGTAGCAGTGAGTCAAGACAGTGCCACTGCACCGCAGCCTGGACAACAGGGCAAGACTCCATCTCAAGAAGAAAGCAGACTCCATCTCAAGAAAGGAGGCAAGGGGAGGGGGGAAATCCCCTATAGGAAGAAGTGTAGGAAGAGCATTCCAGACAGAAGGAGTGGCAGCAACAAAGGTCCTGGGAGGGAACTGAATTAGGCATATTTTAGGACTCCAATCAAAAATAAATCCTCAGGGCCAGGCATGGTGGCTCAGGCCTCTAACCCCAGCACTTTGGGAGACTGAAGCAGGCGAATCACAAGGTCAGGAGTTCCAGACCATCCTGGCCAACATGGTGAAACCCCATCTCTACTAAAGATACAAAAATTAGTCGGGGATGGTGGTGCGCTCCTGTAATCCCAGCTACTCAGGAGGCTGAGGCTGGAGAATTGCTGAAGGTTGCAGTGAGCCAAGATCGAGCCATTGCATTCCAGCCTGGGTGACAGTGAGATTCTGTCTCAAACAAATAAAATAAAAATAAAAACAAAAATAAATTCTCAGTTCCTCAGTAAGTAAAACAGGATGACCATCTGACCCAACAATTCCATTCCTAGCTATCTACCCTCAAAGAATTAAAAACAGGTGTGAAACGCCGAGCACTGTGGCTCACGTCTGTAATCCTAGCACTTTCGGAAGTGGAGGCCAGCAGATCACTTGAGCCCAGGAGTTCCAGACCAGCCTGGGCAACATGGCAAAACCTCGTCTCTACAAAAAATACAAAAATTAGCTGGGTGTGGTAGTGCACGCCTGTAATCCCAGCTACTAGGGAGGCAGAGGCATGAGAATCGGTTGAACCTGGGAGGCGGAGGTTACAGTGAGCCGAGATTGCGCCATTGCACTCCAGCCTGGGCAACAGAGTGAGACTCCGTCTCAAAGAAAAAAAAGAGGAAGGAAGCACTGATCCATGCTATGACGTGGATGAACCCTGAAAACGTGATACTGAGTGAGAGGGGCCAGACGCAAAAGGCCGCCGCATAGTGTATGATCCCATTGGTATGAAATGCCCAGAACAGGAAAATCTAAACATATAGAAGCAGATTGGTTGCCAGGGATGGATGGAAGGAGAATGGAGACGGACTGCTATGGTATGCGGTTTCCTTTTGGAGTGATGAAAATATTCTAGATAGGCTGGGTGCAGTGGCTCATGCCTGTAATCCTAGCACATTGGGAGGCCGAGGCGGGTGGATCATGAGGTCAGGAGTTCAAGAGCAGCCTGGCCAATATGGTGAAACCCCATCTCTACTAAAAATACAAAAACTTAGCCAGGCGTGGTGGCTCATTCCTGTAATCCCAGCTACTTGGGAGGCTGAAGCAGGAGAACTGCTTGAACTGGGACCCAGGAGGCGGAGGTTGCAGTGAGCCCAGATTGCACCACTGCACTCCAGCCTGGGCTATGAAGCGAGACTCCCTCTCAAAAAAAAAAGAAACTACTCTAGACAGAGGTGATGATTATGCAACACTGTGACTGCACTTACTGATACTGAATGGCACTGCAGTCCTGGCTTAAATGGCAAACTTTTATGTTAGGTATAGTTTACCACAATAAAAAAATACATACAAAGTTGCAAAAAAAAGAGAAACAAACCCTTACTGAATGGAGAGGGAAGGCATGTCCTTTTAGTGGATCATAAAGACAGAGACCCTGGCCTGGAGTGGTGGCTCATGCCTGTAATTTCAGCACTTTAGGAGGCTGAGGCAGGAGGATTGCTTGAGGCCAGGAGTTCGAGACCAGCCTGGGCAACATAGTGAGACTCTGCCTCTCAATAAAAAATAAATGAGCCAGGTGTGGTTGCATGCCTACAGTCCCAGCTACTAGGGAGGCTGAGTGAGGTAGGATGGCTTGAGCCCAGGAAGTTGAGGCTGCAGTGAACTATGATCACATCAGAGCACTCCAGCCTTGGTAATAGAGCAAGACCCTGTTTCAAAAAACAAAACGGGCCAGGTGCGGTAGCTCATGCCTGTAATCCCAGCACTTTGAGGGGCTAAGGCAGGCAGGTCACCTGAGATCAGGAGTTCAAGATCAGCCTGGCCAACATCCCCATCTCTACTAAAAATACCAAAAATATTAGCCAGGCACCTGTAATCCCAATTACTCAGGAGACTGAGACAGAAGAATCCCTTGAACCTGGGAGGTGGAGGTTGCAGTGAGCTGGGATCATGCCATTGCACCACTCCAGCCTGGGCAACAGAAGTGAAACTCTGTCTTAAAAAAAAAAGCAAGATTGTGGGCCTAACATGGAATCCCAGAGGGCCAATCCCAGAGGAAGTATCCTACCCTGTGGAGAGGAAACGCTGGCATCTGGTTCAGGATTCACAGGCTCAGGGGTGCAGGGGAAGAGACTGAGCACCACAGTCTCTGAGCCATCTGTGGCCTCCTCTCCCGGGTCTTCAGGTTCCCCAAGTTCTGAGGCAGGGGGCTGCTGCGCCAGGATGAGGTCCTCTGCAGGCTGGGTGGGCTCCATGGGGAAAGCTGGCGGAGGTGCCATTAGGGGAGAGATGACGATAATTATCAACAGCTATAATAAAGTAGGCACCGACTGCATACCCAGCCTTGCACTGTGAGGGTGGGTAAACTGAGGTCAAGGTTAATAATTACCAGAGCCAGGGAAACTAAAACCAGAGTCCAACGGCTTTTGAGGTCTACCCTTTCCCACCACCAAAGAACCTGCAACGTGCAGTGTTTAAAAGTCCGGGCTCTGGGGTCAACTGTCTGGGTTAGAATCCCTCAATTCATAGGCCGTGAGAACTTGGGCATGTGACTTCATCTTTGAACCTCAGTTTCCTCCTCGACAAAATGTGGAAATGAGGCCTATAACGAATCATGTCTGTGCATAGCTTATCAGGGTGGTCTGCTAAGGGCAGAGCTCAATAAACATTCGCTATGGTTATTGGGGGGGTCCCCATAATGAGTGAGGGCTCAACAACGAGGCGATTGGCTCCAGTCGTACCCGAGCCTCTCAAATCGATCCAAGAGATCCACTCACCTCCCCACGAGCCTCTTGTATCCCCCCGCGCCGAAAGCCCAGTTCTCTCAAAACTTGGGGGCCCAAGTCACAAACTTTTCTCTTCTTATGGATATAGTGGGAGGCAGGCTGAAGACTGGACCCTCAGCACTCCGGCTTCCTCAGCCGGGACAGACAGCAACTTGATACTCGACCGCTACCCCCACCCCAGAACTCCCTCACTGCGCGTGCGCACCCCCGCCCCCCAAAAGTGAGGAACGGCCCGAGCAGTAAAGTGCTGCCTCTGGCCCTTTAAGATTTAGGGGAGGGAGTGGCTTCCGCTGGGGACCTAGGAGGGCATTTGCGCCTGCGTGTTCTCTCCACCCGAAGGAGGGAATGGGCGGGGACTAAAGGGCTCTGAGAATTTCATTGCGCTTGTGCCAGCTCGCCTTCACCCCGCCCACAAATTTTGCCAGAGGCAGCCCTGGGGCTCCGGCTTCGGGCAGATGGGCGGGGCTTTTTCCAGAAGAAGTGGGGGAAGTACGCGGAGCGCCCGGAACTTAAAGGGGCAAGGTACCTTCGCTGTCCCGTTCCACAACAGGGTCCTTTCTGTTGGGACACCTAAATTCCTCTTAAAGACTCAATTTTCTGGTCATAAGCTGTAAATCAATCCTCCCCCTAGTCTGTTTTTCGCAAATCGCGGGTTTACCCTGTTTGGAAAAGTTTAAGTCTTAGCCAATCGGGATCAGCTTAGATTGTGTGGTCCAACCGCAGCCAATAGGGGAAGGACACAGAAACAGGAATTGCGTGCGGATGAAAAACGCCTTCCCTCCTTTGTTCCGCATGCGCTTGCGACTGCGTCGGAGGCAGGAGGCACCCTTCTGCACAAGTCACGGTACCTTCCTGAGAATTTTGCCAAGTGCGGGTTTCTTTTGGTTACCCCAGCGCTAGTTTCCGACACATTTGGGGGTTCGTCCGGGACCCCATTCTCCTTCGGGAGGGGCTAGCGATGATCTTTCCTGGGGAGATGTGTCTCACTGCCTCCTTGTGGTGGCCCCAGGAGGGGAGGACCGAGTCCCACCAGAAGTGATGATAAATCCGGACTCTCAGCAACGTGGGCAGTAGGGAGGATCTTGAAGAATTCCACCGCGACCAGGTAACTGTGTACAGACCAAGATAAGAAACATCGCGGTTGGGGCGACAAGGTATTCCTTGGTGGTCGGGTTCTCTGTAGGTGGAAAGTGTGTGAGTGAGACGCGCGATTGAGGGCGGAGCGAGTGCGAAGTCCGGACTTTGTTCCGTGGCCACTTCTTGGGGGGGGGAGGCGGTTGGGGGTGGAGGGAGGATTATACTGACCGTCCAATGCTGAGAGGGGCCTAAAATTCCCTGGAAGTGGCCAATCAGGAAAAAATGAGTGTTCACAAGAGTGCAAAGAACCTCCAGTGAGAAAAGGGGAGTTTAAGCCTCTAGGATACGGGAGTGCAAGAAATCTAATATGAGGGATTGAACGGCACCAACCTTCAGAGTGGGAAATACTCCAAATAAGACAGGGACTATAAAAAGGCCAAGCAGACAATAAAATTACCCCTGACAGCCCCCTAGGCCTTATGCTAAAATACTGGAAGCATAATGAAAGGACCAAACACTAGAAAAGACAGCAGATGATGAAGTATTGCTGTTTTATTTGGACTAAGGAACCCATCCTCAGACCTTCGGTCTTTTGGCCAAAGTTTGGGTAGGCGAGGACTGGATATGCCAGCTCCTGATCCAGTATGTCAATGATAAAAGTCCAGTTTCTCACGGGGAGATAGCTTATGCTCTGTGTTGGAGGCAAGGATCTGTCCTTCTCTATCCCCTAAAAGACGAAAAAAGCAGTCAAACTCAAAACCCCAAAGACGACGTAGCTAAGTCATATTCTATAAAGATGCAGGGGATCCTCTAGGCCGCCTTCCCTCGCCTACCCCTTGTACCCCTGCGCCCCAAGCTAAACACTCAGCCCTTCCTCCACCTACCCCACTGTCCCAAGCTGAACCGTCAGTCCCTCCCCCATATAACCCTGCCCCATGGGCCTTGACACCCACACCCTCGCTGGACAGCAACCTGAATATGCCCCTTCCTCAGGAAGGCTCCAGTGGGAAATCTAACAATGCTGAAGGGATATTAAAACTTAACTTTCCCCTCTTCCTCCAAGTCTGCGCTAGCCCCTTTTCCCTTAAGGGAAGTGCCATTAGGAGAAGGGGATGTTGGCTTCATAAATGTCCCCTTAACTAGTTCAGAGGTTAGAAATCTAAAAAAGCAACTCAGACCACTGTTAGATGACCCTTTGGAAGTTGACCATCAAATTGACCAATTTCTGGGGCCACAACTTCACACTTGGGCTGAATTAATGTCTATTCTAGGTATTCTCAGGAAAGAAAAGAAACGTGATCTGCAGGGCCGCTATGATACTCGGGGAGCATGAGCACCCCCCGGTCCAAATGTCCTTGCAGCGGAGCATAAATTAACAACAGTGCAGCCCACCGAGAAAACATGGGAGATCTCAGAGATACGATAATCAAAGGGAATCGGGAATCAGTTCCTCAAACACAAATGATTTCCCGAGCATTTAATGTACACCGAGAGAAAGACGAGGGACCCATGGAATTCTTCAACAGACTCAAGGAACAGATAAGAAAATACAGATTTTCATATAGGACATAGAATACCCACTGGGACAAAAGATGTTAAAGCTCCACTTTGTCACCAATAGTTGACCGGACATTGCAAAGAAACTATAAAAGATAGAGGCCGGGCGCGGTGGCTCACGCCTATAATCCCAGCACTTTGGGAGGCCGAGGCGGGTGGATCACGAGGTCAAGAGATCGAGACCATCCTGGTGAACAAGGTGAAACCCTGTCTCTACTAAAAATACAAAAATTAGCTGGGCATGGTGGTGCGCACCTGTAGTCCCAGCTACTCGCCACCTACTTGGGAGGCTAAGGCAGGAGAATTGCCTGAACCCAGAAGGCAGAGGTTGCAGTGAGCCGAGATTGCGCCATTGCACTCCAGCCTGGGTAACAAGAGCGAATCTCCGTCTCAAAAAAAAAAAAAAAAAAAGAAATTGCAAAAGTTAGAAAATTGGATAAATCGTCCCATAGAGGAACTTTTAAGAGGCCCAAAAGGTATGTGTATTGAGGGATGAGGAAAGGCAAAAGCAAAAAGCAAAAATTACGCTGTTTATCCTCCAACAGGGAACTGTTCAACAGGCCCCGGGAAATAGAACTTGTAAAGCTTCTGAGTACCTGAGTACCTGGTTGCCAAACTACACAGGAAGCAAAGGGACGAAACCTGAGAGTCAGGGAACAGGGAGGGGAAAAGGGAAAACAGATGTTTCCGGTGTGGAAAGCCAGGACATTTTAAGAGGGAAAAGAAAGTCCTTTCACTCATGACATTTGAAGAAGAGCAGGGTCAGGGGCTCTACATCTTCCATCTCTCCCACCAGGAGCCCTTCATAAATCTAACCGTGGGACCCAAATCGGAGGTAGTCACTTTGTTAGTCAATTCGAAAGCGGGTTGCTCCTTGTAGAAGACCTCACTGTCTCAGGAGTTAAAGGGGAAGGATTCCGGGCAACAGTCAAATATAAGAATTTATATGACTAGAGGAAACCAAAGTCAAATATAAGAATAAGTCAGCCGGGCGCGGTGGCTCACACCTGTAATCCCAACACTTTGGGCGGCCGAGGCACAAGGTCAAGAGATCGAGACCATCCTGGTCAACATGGTGAAACACTGTCTCTACTAAAAATACAAAAAAATTAGCTGGGCATGGTGGCGTGTGCCTGTAATCCCAGCTACTCAGGAGGCTGAGGCAGGAGAATTGCCTGAACCCAGGAGGCGGAGGTTGCCGTAAGCTGAGATCCCGCCATTGCACTCCAGCCTGGGTAACAAGAGCGAAACTCCATCTCAAAAAAAAAAAAAAAAGAATAAGTCGGTCACTGCTAAGTTCTTGTTCATTCCCGAAGCAGGAACTAGTTTTAGGAATGGACTTAATTGAAGGCATAGGCCTCTATGTTAATCAGGAAAAACTCCTTCCTTCCTTAAACCTGCTTACCATTTTGGAAGAAAGCTGCATCCATCCCGATGTGCGGTTGAAGGAAGGAAATTGAGGAAAGCTACAGGTTCCTCCAATCCATGTCAAATTAAAAACTTCCAGGGAAGTAGTCAAAAGAAAACAATACCATTTTTCCCTTGGAAGCCAGGATAGGTTTAAAACCTGTATTTGAAGGCCTTGGGCTGGGCTTGGTGGTTCACATCTGAAGCCCTTTGGGAGGCTGAGACAGGCGGATCGCAAGGTCAGGAGAGTGAGACCATCCTGGCCAACATGGTAAAAAAAAAATCCCGTCTCTACTAAAAAAAATACAAAAATTAGCTGGCTGTCGTGGCACGTGTCTGTAATCCCAGTTACTTGGGAGGCTGAGGCAGGAGAATTGCTTGAACCCAGGAGGCAGAGATTGCAGTGAGCCTAGATCGCGCCACTGCACTCCAGCCTGGCGACAGGACGAGACTCCATATCAAAAAAAAAAAGTAAGCCATGTCCACGACGGCCCCCTTGAACCCTGTATGTCCTGTTTTAACACCCCAATATTGCCATGTCCACAACGGCCCCCTTGAACCCTGTATGTCCTGTTACAACACCCCAATATTGCCATGTCCACGATGGCCCCCTTGAACCCTGTATGTCCTGTTGTAACACCCCAATATTGCCACGTCCACGACGGCCCCCTTGAACCCTGTATGTCCTGTTGTAACACCCCAGTATTGCCATGTCCACGACGGCCCCCTTGAGCCCTGTATGTCCTGTTGTAACACCCCAATATTGCCATGTCCACGACGGCCCCCTTGAACCCTGTATGTCCTGTTACAACACCCCAATATTGCCATGTCCACAACGGCCCCCTTGAACCCTGTATGTCCTGTTGTAACACCCCAATATTGCCACGTCCACGACGGCCCCCTTGAACCCTGTATGTCCTGTTGTAACACCCCAATATTGCCACGTCCATGACGGCCCCCTTGAGCCCTGTATGTCCTGTTGTAACACCCCAGTATTGCCATGTCCACGACGGCCCCCTTGAGCCCTGTATGTCCTCTTGTAACACCCCAATATTGCCATGTCCACGACGGCCCCCTTGAACCCTGTATGTCCTGTTGTAACACCCCAGTATTGCCTTTAAGGAAGGCAGATGGGTCATACTGGCCAGTGCAAGACCTCCAGGCTATTTACAAATAGTTCAGGCTTCCCACCCTGTTGTTCCCAGTCCTTACACCACTGTCAATAGAATCCCGCACAGCCACCAACGGTTCACGGTGATAGATTTAAAAGATGTCTTTTGGGTTGCCCTTTAGCAGAGGACAGCCAGGACATGTTTGCCTTTGAGTGGGGGGACCCTCACTTGGGTCAAAAACAGTACCAATGGACAGTCTAGCCCCAATGGTGTACAGAGTTCCCCAAATCAACTTGGTCAGCTTTTAAAACAAGTCCTAGAGAACGTCTGCCTGCCTTCATCCATACGCCTACTCCAGTACGTAGGCGGCCTGCTCATTTCAGGAGATGGCAAGCTTCAAGTCACAGCAGTTTCAGTTAACTTCCTAAATTTCCTGAGGGAACAAGTGTGTGGGTCTCAAAGAAGAAACTCCAGTTCCGAGAACCTGAGGTAAAACAGGACACAGCCGGGCACGGTGGCTCACACCTGTAATCCCAGCACTTTGTGGAGGCCCAGGCAGGCGGATCATGAGGTCAGGAGATTGAGACCATCCTGCCCAACATGGTGAAACCCTGTCTCTACTAAAAATATGAAAATTAGCTGGGCATGGTGGCGCGTGCCTGTAATCACAGCTACTCAGGAGGCTGAGGCAGGAGAATCACTTGAAACAGGGAGTTGGAGGTTGCAGTGAGCTGCGATCGCACCACTGCACTCCAGCCTGGGCAACAGAGACAATGTCTCAAAAAAAAAAAACTAGGCCTAATTAGTCAAGGTAAACAAAAGATAGGACCAGAATGAAGGTACCGTATCTTTGCCTTCCCCAAAACAAAGCAGGAACTTAGGAAATTCTTAGGAGTGGTTGGATATTGTCATCTGTGGATCGACTCTTATGCCTTAAAAACAAAGTCCCTATATCAAAAACTCAGGAAGAACCATACTCCCTCCTTTGGACCCCATCAGAAATCCAACAGGTGAAAGAATTAAAACACCTACTTGTAACTGCCCCCGTTGTGGCCTTGCCCTCAGAG